GAAGGATTTGGGGATGTTGGTGGGTGAGAGGCTGGACATGCCCCATGCCCTGGGCTGATCCCACAGCCTGGGCAGCAGGGGAGGGGGATTCTGCCCCAGAGCTGCCCCAGCCCTGGGGACACAGCAGCAGCACCTTGAGCTGCTGGAAAGAATCCAGAGGAATCCATGGAGCTGCTCCAGGGCTGGAGCCAGGCTGGGAGAGCTGGGGGTGCTCACCTGGAGAGGAGAAAGCTCCAGGGAGAGCTCAGAGCCCTTGCCAGGGCCTAAAGGGGCTCAAGGAGAGCTGGAGAGGGAATGGGGAAAAGGCATGGAGGGACAGGACTTGGATATCAGACATGTGATATTGATGTGGAATGGGCCATGGGCTCACTCAACAAGACGTTTTGCAGATAGGTTTAATTTTGAAAACTCATTGAAAAATCCCCAGAGCACACTGTTCTTGTAAAGTTGAAATGGAGCAGGTTCATTTCCCCTTTTGGGACTTCTGCTTGGAGTTTTAATTTAAGTACGTGATAATAGTTTTAAAAATCCCAAACCAGACCAGTCCTCTTTAAATCACAACCAAAACAAGACTATTTGGCTTCTGGACTGATTTTTTGAGATTATTCTGAAATAGGAATTCTGAGAAGTTTTTGTTCTCTGGGGTTGGGTGTGACCCAAGGGCTGGAGAGAACAGAGTGATTTTCCAGCATCATCCATGATTTCAGTGGTGTGGATTGCTGCTTGATTCACTGCAGATGAGTGAATTATCAGCAAAATATCTGTGTCCTTCTGCCTTTACAAAAGGCATCAAACAAGCAACCAGCCTTGCTGAACTACTTTGTCAGGGAGCAGAAAACCTCCTAGGGCAGGAATATTGACGGAGTTTGCAAACTCTGTCCTGACCTTTCTCCTTCACACAAACTTGGGGGCTGAGTCAGGACAATAAATCTGCTGCATCTCATTCAGGAAGGGAAATGATAACTCATCTCTCCATGATGAAAGGGACTTCATCCTGAAGCCTGGCTCGTTGGTGATTTGTAGACCTGCTGTGGAAGGGGAAGGGATTTAGGCAGCAATAGCATGGCTGTGCATGGGGATGCCACTGTGCCATGTCTGCAGAAAGGCATCCAGATGACTCTGCATTACTGCTGGCCATGGAGGGGAGAAGCAGAAGCAGGAAAAAAGATCCTGGCTAGGACCTAGAAATCATAGATGGGCTATGGGTGAAACACGTAAAGTGAGAGCAAGGAAAAGAGGGATTTTGCACCAATCCAGAATAAGCAAGCGCAAGAGCAGAGAAAGGGAAGAGAAGCAGGATCTCCATGGAGATTACCAGTGCAGGTTAATTGAATAAAATACTTTCTCACTGTTTGCAAAGGTTCCTCCCAGGACCATTGGAGGCAGCAGAAAATGGAAGGAAGATGTGCTCCATCAGCCTGGCAGAGCTGGGGCTGGACATGAGGGCTCTTCCAAGGAGCTCTTTCCTGGAGTAGAGGCAGAAGTGGGGTTAACGTTCTTGACAGCAAGAACCAAGAGCTTATTTTTGATGGACAGCAGCTTAGTGGAGCCATGTTTGAACAGCCCTATAAAGAGCAGAATGGTTTGAAAACCCTGAATGAAGGCCAGTCAGGTTTTTTATATTTTTTAAAGCCACATCAGGCTTTAAGTGGAGCTTGGCTTTGGTACATGGCAGACGGCTCAGGAGATGTTTCTCTGCTCTATACATAGTTATTTTTGACCTAAATCGACTTTTGCCTCTTCCACAGGAAGCACACACATTTTGATTGGTGTGGGAGATTTCCAGAGCAATTCCAGGACAGGTTTTCTGAGAAAAGAGTGGAGAAAGCCCACTGCCGTCTGCTGCTAGGACAATGACCCATCCCAGAGGCTGGGTTCTCTGCAGTCAGTAGAACCAACAGCTCTCCCCTCTTGAGGACACAAGTACAGCTGGGCCAAATTCATTGCACCACTGGAACTTCTTTCTGCACCACCCCAAAATTTTGAGAACCACTCCTGGCATGCAGCTCTAGGTCTTGGGAACAACATGGGCTTGGAGTGTAGCTCACCAGAAAGAAAATCATGGAATGGTTTGGGGTAGAAGGGACCTTAAAGCCATCCAGTGCCACCCCTGCCACGGGCAGGGACACTTCCTCTATCCCAGAGTGCTCCAAGGCCCATCCAACCTCACCTAGAACAATTCCTGGAGTGAAGCTTTTTTGCCCTTGCATGTCATGATGTTGGTGACAGGGGTGTCACGATGGGAGAGTGCTTTTTCTTTGGCCACAGAAGAGCTGGGAAGAGACAAAATGTCTGCTAAAAACCAAGATGTGTAAGAAGAGGGTGATCTTCAGTGCGGCTGTATTGAAGATGAGCCAACCCAGCATCTCAGCAGGACCTCAAGCCTATTAAAGTGCAATGTCTGCCAGCACTGCCCTAGCACCTCCAGGCTTTTTCCCAGAGCTGGCTGCTCATCCACAGCAGAAAGAGGAGCCTTAGAGGTGGGACAGGATGCTGACCCACAGCCCAGAGCAGGAGGGTGTTGTAGGGTTACCTGCAGTGCCCGGGCCAGTCCCACCTCCTTTTGCAGCCAGCAGCTCCTTGCTGTCCCTCGGCAGGGTTTCAGCCCAGCTTTTCCCGGGGCTTAGGGAAGGAAGAGGAGCCGGAGCGTCAGGGATGCTGTGACACATGAATGCTTTCAATGTACTAATGCGGCTGCATTAGCGCTAATGGGCAGTGCCACCAGCAAACTCTAGGGAGGATGCCGAGCGTGGAATTCCACTAATGCTTCCTTAATCCAACCAGTCTTTAAAAGAGCTCCTGTTTACAAATAACCAGGGCAGAGCAGGGGATCCTAGCCGTCTCTGGGCTTTCTTGCTTTTTAGAGAGAGAGCAGCCCTGGGCTGCGGGCTCTGCCTTGCATCTTGTTACCAAATCCCACCCTCGGAACCAGGAATCACAAGTGTGTCCTGTTAAATAACCAGGTTGCCTAAGCCTGGTCTGATACACTGAAACAACATTTGCAAAGTGCAAATCCTGCTGTCGGTTACATAACTGAATTATCCTTCCATATGCCAGACAGCAATTCTACAGTTAATTGATTTTAATCTAATCATTTGTAGCCAGTCACCAGTTTTAATCAACCCTGCCCACCCCCAGCCCATCGTTTTGCATGAGCCATCTTTCCAGCAATTACTGATTTTAATTATATGAAAGTCTGGTTATGTTTCATTAATTCTTGTCACATTACCATGGCCCTCCATCTCCACATCCAGCGTCCAGCCACCTCGGCATCGTGATCCATTACAGCGGGCAAACAGGAGCATCCTCCCCCAGCTTCATTAGATTTGGAATGCTGATCAGCAAGGTTGAGGAGGCAGAGCACAGGTGCTCGCTCCTCTGCCTCCTCTGCTCTCCACAGCCTGGCTCCAGCACTGAGCTTTTGCCTGGGGGCATCTGAACCAGGGCAGAGCCCCAAATATCTCAAAACGCTTCATTTTTCCTTGAGGAAGAGTACTCAGGACCTCGCAGGGGAGGAGGAATATCCCTCACTACTCCAGCTCCTAGACTTATCACCAACGTGGAATGCACCTTGGGGTGGGCAGAGGGAGGCTGATGGAAAGCAGGGGCAGGGCAAAGAGGAGGAGAAGGAGGAGGAGGCGGAGGAAGGCTGGGAGCCTCCAGCAGCATTCGGGTGTCGTGCCCCAGGCAGCACCTGCAAGAGCCTGGATTTGGTGGGAGGCTGGAGAAGTGACTGTCTGTACCTGGGAGCAGTGGGACCATGGCTGATTCTCAGGGTGTGATCCATGCCAAGGCAGAGGCAGGAGGGACGGAATCCCCCCCATTCAGCCCAGCCTGTTAGGCTCTGGAGGCTCAGAAATGGTGGCCCAACACAGGGAAGGGCCTTCCAACCACAGGTGTGGTGCAGGTGGATCCCCAGGGATGAGAGCTGCCCCTGCTGCCATGGGGGATCCCTTTCCTGCTCCCGTCACTGCCCCCCAGGAGTCAGTGAGGCTGAGATGGAGACACCTGGGCTCCAGGGATGAGCCAGGGAGGACTTTGCCTCTGGGAACACTCTACCTCCAGTCTGGCCATTTGTCTGGGTGAGTGCCCCCAGCCAGGAGGTCTGGCTGGTTCCCACTTAAACAAATATCTAATAAAAACAAAGGATTATTTCATATCTAGTTGGAAAGAACAGGAAGCCCTGCTATTTACCCCAGAAAGTGAATATTTCCTTTTCCTAGAGTGTCTTTGTAGGAAGCCATGTGCTGCAACCTGCCTGGGGCTGGTGTGGGGGAATGGAGGTGTCAGGGGCTCTCATGGGGTTTGTCCAAACATCGTTCCTGCCACCCTTCTGCTGGTGCTGGGGGCATGGAGGTCTGGAAGGGCCCTGGCCATGGGGCTGGAGGGTTTTGTCCTGTCCCATGTCTCTCAGGACACATCCTCAGCCCAAGGAGGGACAGAAACCCCCACACCCAAAAGAGGCCAGAGAAAAGAGCCACAGTCACTCCAAAGGAGATGTCACATATAAAAAATGGATGACCAGCAGAATGGGCTAATGAGGCTTTTATGCACAACTAACAAAGCCAACAGGAAAAATCTCCTTCTGTCCGAGGTACCGCCACCAGCATCAGCAAGTAATCTTGGCTCTGGGGATCACTTTGTATTTAATCCTCTCTTTCCCACTCAGGCCCATTTTATATGGATATGAATTATTGAATCTAGCCAAATTTTCCCTGCATTCCAGCTAGCCATGACCTCTGTTGCTGAGGACTTGTGGCAGCGCTGATAGGGCCCCAGCAGGAAGGCTCATCTGGGGCTTTCTATGTGTGCATAACTGAGCTGAAGTGATCTATATGGTAGTTGGAAGGATATTACTACCTTTGTGATGGGAATTGTGTGGATGATGATCCAATTTGGCACCTCTCCACATGACGGGAGCAGTTTTTACACATTTATTATGCTTCAGATAAACATTGCATTAATTATTCATTTATAATTTCTAAGATTGTCTTTCACAGGAAAAAATGGAGAGTCCTGAGCCGCGTGTTGACATTAGAGGCAGAACCTGAGCCAGGGAAGAGCTGGATGATGGAGCAAGGTGAGGATACAGGAGCATTCCTCCCTTGTAGAGGGAGCTGTCCCCACATCCCAAGGACGGCTCTGACGGCTCCTCATGTTGAAAGTGACTCAGACAGGGACAGAGTGGGCAGGGCTGGGTGGACAGCAGAGGGCTCTCGAACCCTCAGCAAGAGCAGGGGGATGCAAGGAGCCCCGCCCGCTGACCTTAGACACTGCCCGAGGAATTAAACATCATTTGGAGACAAAGAGGGCAAGAAAGAGAAGAAAGAAAGCTGAAAAGTAGAAAGGGCAAAAGAAAGAGAAAAAGAGAAGAAAAATAGCAAGAGGAAAGGATAAAGAAAGAGAAGGAAAACAAAAAGATAAAGAAAAAATGAAGAAAGAAAAATATGAAGAAAAAATTACAAAGAAAAAAAGAGGGAAAAATAAATAGAAATAGAAAAAAGAAGAATAAAAATTAAAAATAAACAAAGAAATAGAAATAGAAATAGAAATAGAAATAGAAATAGAAATAGAAATAGAAATAGAAATAGAAATAGAAATAGAAATAGAAATAGAAATAGAAATAGAAATAGAAATAGAAATAGAAAGTTCTGTTTTCCCATGCAGAGAATGTGTCTTCAGGGAGCAACACTGTGGTGATGCAGTGCTGGGTTCTCCCCTTCCCATCGCAGGGATTTGTCATCTGTCTGCCTTTGGCTGCAATCTGAGCAGGGAAAGGAGAAAACCCCCTCCCTTGGACAGGGAAAGAACCTGGAAGGTTATTTTGGTATTTCCAGGGGGAGTTGAAGAAGGTTGCCAGACTGGGTTCTTCGTCCTTCCCATATTCCCCATTACCAAATAGGGCACGTGTGCCTTCCCTAATGCAGGATAGGCGCACCAAAGGAGCAGCGCTGGGTCTCCTGTGCAGGGATGGGAGGGATCACTGCCCTAGCAGCTGCATTTCCTTGGGGTCACCCACTTCCCCAGGGATTCTCACCTTACCCAGGCCCCATCTGCAGATCCCAGCTTTGTGTCCTGTCTCTGGACTGAGCACAAGGAGCCCCCTGCATTTCTGGAATGGCAGCGGCTATTTAGGAGCCCCAGAGAGGGAACCGGGAAGCCCGTGTGGGAATTAGAACTTTCCTGTGCAGGCTTTGCCTTGTGCAGTGTCCAGGAAATCTTCTCTGCCCCAGGGCTTGGCCGTGATCTCCGTGCACATCCCAGACCCTGAATAAAGCTGTTCCATGGGATGGGATCAGGGAGGTTCAGGTTCACATCTTGTGCACATCCCAGACCCTGAGTAAAGCTGTTCCATGGGATGGGATCAGGGAGGTTCAGGTTCACATCTTGTGCACATCCCAGACCCTGAGTAAAGCTGTTCCATGGGATGGGATCAGGAAGGTTCAGGTTCACATCCTGTGCACATCCCAGACCCTGAATAAAGCTGTTTATAATAAAGCTGTGAGGGGATCAGGGATGTTCAGGTTCCTGCCCTGGCGGGAGACACAGAGGGTTATCTTGGCCTTGGCAAAGTAGGGAAGGAAATTGCTGATAAGACCTTGTACCCTGGGATCTGTTGTGGATATTTCCTTCCTCATTCATGTCTAAATAAGCCCTTTTCTCTCTGACACCGAGCTGCAAGTGGCTGTGGGCACAGGGCTCATCCTGCACCAAGCTCGAGATGGCAGATGGAGCCCTGGAGAATAAAGAGCTAATCCCAAGTGACCTGACATCATCCCGGGCATGGAGAACAAGGTGTTGAGCCGGGCTGCTGCTGAGCACACCTATTAAATGTGTTCTCTCTGTCATGAATTATGGATCTCCGCATTTCCATTTCCCTGCTGCCGCTTGTTTGATGGAATTCTCCTCGGCTGATAAGGATTAAGCCACCTTCTCCAAGGCACAGCGCCGAGGCAGGCTGTGCTCCATCAGCCTGGGGTGAGGATGCTCCACTCCTGGGGCCTGCCCGTGGGGCTCCAAGGTGCAGCATCATCCCCCAGGGAGGAAATGCAGGCCGAGGCTGGGCCCCCGGCTGGGAAAGACTTGGCAGAGGCCAGGGGTTATTTTGGACAAGGTGAGGGGGTTATTTTGTACAGGGCCGGCACACCTCATCCTGCCAGCTCCTCCTCTGAAGAGCAGCACCTGGGGGTGGCTGAGGTGTGGCAGGCACATTCTTCTCTTTCTCAGGATTTTTCATAGAGGAGCGCAGAGGAAAGAAAGAGAAAACAATTTCTATTTCTACTCCTTGTTTTCCCATGTGGAATGTGTTTGGAGAATTGTTTACCTAGAATGATTGCTTAACTAGATTCTGGTGAGGATTGTTTGAGCCTGATGGCCAATCCAACCCACCTGGGGCTGGACTCTTGAGACAGGGTCACGAGTTGTGAGTGAGTTAGATGTGGTAGATAGAAGAAATAAGTATATATTTTAATATCTCCTTTAAATAGTATATTAATGTATTATAGTATAGTTATAATAAAGAAACAATTCAGCCTTCTGAACTAAAGCCAGACATCATCATTTCTTTCCACCGGGTTCACCTGCATTTACAACACAAGGACAGCACAGCTGTCAGTCTCACGAGTTCCCCCTGGACACTCAGATCCTGCCAGGACAGGAGTGTTTCCATAGCAGATCCTGCTTCCCAGAGAGCTCTCCACACAGAGAAAGGAGAAATTAGACTCAGAGTCAGAAACACCTGCAAAAGAAAGCATGTTTTGTGGAAAATGGTGATTCCTTGTGAAATCAGGAGATTGGGAGGGCTCTTGGGAGCCAAGTGTTAAGGCAGCAAGCACACATCCCATGTGGGGTGGAGGTGCCCTGCATCCTTGTAGCAGCACGCACTGGCAGGGCTGGGTGCCCACCTACTCCTGCAAGGACTCATGCAGACACGTCCTCCACACTGGCAGCTTCCATCCCCAAAGCTGAGAACAGGTTTTACTTTGGATTTTTCCACGATGTTCAATCTGGAGTAAAAGTAAAAGGCACGAGCTGCCGTGAGGCTCTTACAGCACATAGAAACCGAGGGAAAGGGGAGGAGAAACAGCTAAACGAGATCTCCTCAGGCTTGACCTCCCCAGGCCACATCTCCTGCCTCCTTACTCCCTTCAGAGCAGATGTTCCCAATGGGCAGAGAGAACAGGCTCATAAATCTGGAGGTGCGAGTGGGAATCTCTGGGAATGGCTGCCTCGAGCCATGGCCACACCACAGCACCTGCCCTCTGCAGGATGGATAATTATTCCTCCCTTGCCTCCCTCCAGCTGATGTCCGCTGCTTATCCCCTGCCAGGACCCCCCTCCTGCTGCCCCAGGCCTGTGCTGTTCTGTGTCAGACTTTCCCTGATGGCACTCCTTGAAAAGCACAAGGCAAACAGGAGCACAGCACCCGGCCAGGTCTGACAGGGAGGCAATATTTGCTCTGCTGTTTAATTCCTGAGGCCAGGGAAGATGGATGGGAGGGCAGGCATGCTGCTGACGTGCCACCCTTTCCTTGCCTCTTTGCTCAGTGTGGGGGTAAAGACACAGGGTTTGTCCAAGGGCTGGTTACAGCAGAGCCGTCCTGGCCCTGATCCCACCACTGCTGACCCAGAGAACATCTGAGGGCGTCACACCCCCTTAGGGTTATTTTCCTGCTAAATATCAGGTTGCTTAGGCTGGATTTCTCTCAGCCAGGATCCTTTAATTTCACTGGACTTGGTGCCCTGAGAGCGAGCTGCAGAAACGAGTGAGCAAGCAGAGCCAAGCACAAGAGGTGCTCCTAAACATCCTTTGCTTTCTGGTTAAATATTGGTGGCAAAGTCCTTGCACAGTGTCCAGAAAAAACAAAAATCCCCAAAGCTCTCCCACAGCCCTCTCCAGTGCGCTGTAAGTGTTTTTCTGGCCGTTCGTGGCCTTGCATCCTTGCTTACACCTCCTCAGCCTCTGTGGATACCTTCACTTTCCACAAACCCCTGTCCTTGACCTCTCCACAAAGTTTTCTCTTGGCTGCTGGTATCTGAGGACATTTCCCCCCTCCCTTTTACCAGAAAGCAGCATCACTGTTCCATACTGCATGTCTGAAGTTGATTGTGTATGCTGGCTTGAGCCCACAAAGCAGATAGATGGACTCCATGCCTGCAGAGCTGTCAAGTGCAAGGCCACCAGCCCTTATCCGTACAGATAACATCTGCATGGACATGTTCCTCCCCCCATGCTCCTCACAGCTAGGGATGGCAGCAGGAGTCCCACAGGGACATGTGGAGACACTGGCAGGTTTACACAATGACGTGTGATTTCGTTAGCCATGACAGCACCAGTAGCCTGCTGGTCTCCGCCGAAGTACAGGAGATTTTCCTTAATGAGCCCTCTAGAAATATGTGGGTTGGAGGTGACCTTAAAGCCCACCCAGTGCCACCCCTGCCATGGACAGGGACACCTTCCACTGTCCCAGGTTGCTCCAAGCCACAGCCAGCCTGTCCTGGAATGCTTCCAGGGATGGGGTAGCCTCAAATTCTCTGGGAAACATTCTGTGGGAATGCTCTGTGTCTGGTGGTGTCCCCAGAGGACCCATCCCCATGGGACAGCAGCATGAATTGGCTCCCTTTATCTCTGCTTCCTCTCCCCAGCAGCTTCAGTAAATCAGAGAAGTCAGATGCTATCAGCACCTGCAACTCCTCGTTTTTGGAAGCAGTGCAGAAGCATGTTGGTGACTTTGAGAGTGCTAAAAAAAGAAGAGAACAAGAGGTTAATAAATCTTCCTCCTAGCAGCATCAATTGCAGCGTCCTCACCCCTTTCCTGACCCTGCAAAGTGAGGTGACACCACTCATTATTCCTCAGCCACATTGCTCAGCCCTGCTGAGTTCTCTCCTCTCTTTCTGGGGGAGGAAGAGGTGGCTGTGTCTTGGAGAAGGGGAATCACTCCACAGATGAGTTATTGAAGGGGAAGTCTGGTCAGGAGTCCAGTCTGAGTGGTGTTTTGGCTGCTGCCCCCAAAAAGATTTCTGTGCTGCCTCAGCATGGCAGGTCTGGGTGGAATTTATGGGGCCCAGAGAGCCCACATCCAGATCTGCACTCTCTGGGACCATGCCCTTCCAAGAGGAACTCGGCTCCTTTTCTTCCTCTCACTGCTCAGCTGATGCTCTGCACACAACTGTGGCTGCCCCTTCCCTTCCCTTCCCTTCCCTTCCCTTCCCTTCCCTTCCCTTCCCTTCCCTTCCCTTCCCTTCCCTTCCCTTCCCTTCCCTTCCCTTCCCTTCCCTTCCCTTCCCTTCCCTTCCCTTCCCTTCCCTTCCCTTCCCTTCCCTTCCCTTCCCTTCCCTTCCCTTCCCTTCCCTTCCCTTCCCTTCCCTTCCTTCCCTTCCCTTCCCTTCCCTTCCCTTCCCTTCCCTTCCCTTCCCTTCCCTTCCCTTCCCTTCCCTTCCCTTCCCTTTCCCTCCCTGGCTGTTTTCCAGGAGTGCGGCTCGGCCCTGGCAGAGATCTGCCATCTATTAATTACCTCAGTGCCTGACGGGTGTGAGCATCTCCAAGGGATTTGGGAACAGCGCTGAAAATGATGAAGGTCTGGAAGGCAGTGATTTATTGGTGGGAGATTAGTGGAGTTAAATATGAACAGCTCAAGTGAATGATGGCAAAGGAGAATCTGAAGCCTGTGCAGAGTGGTTTGAAGGGTATAAACACCCAAGAAGAAGTGGTGGCATTGCTGAGATGGAGAATTTCAGCAAAAGCCTTTGGGAAAGCTCAGGGCAAGCGAATGGAATTGCCCTTTGCCAGCCTGAAGTGATTAGGGTCCGCACTTCCAAATTCACTCCTCTAATCTAAATGCAGTGAAGGATTTTTTTGCTTTAATCAAGCAGACACATTATTAGAAGGGCAGAAACTCAGTTTCTCCTTCCTTTTCCCCCCAGTGCCTCGAGTCCTCTGTGCTCAGCACCATGGCATCCCCTGAGCTCCACGGACCCCTCAGGACCTCAGAGACTTGTCCTGGTGCCAGCACAGATGGCGAATACCAGGCAGAGGCACAGAGAGCAAAACCTGCTTTCCTCCAGAGTACTCGGTGGTGTTGTCAGAAACTTGCTTGGTCTGAAACTTCAGTTTGTTTGTGCTGGCCAGGTGCTGCCTCTGCAGAGCGGTGCAGGAACCCCGTGAGTTATCTAGGCTGGAAACATCCCTCCCTGCGGGGGTGCTGAGGCACTGACACGGGTTTCTCAGAGTGCTGGTGGCTGCCCCTGGATCCCTGGAAGTGCCCAAGGCCAGGCTGGATGGGGCTTGGAGCATCCCGGGAGAGCAGAAGGTGTCCTTGCTGTCCATGGCAGGAGTGGGAATGATTTGGGCTTCAGGCTCCCTCCCAAAACCCTGTGATGCCATGGAAAAGCCTCTCAGGCAGGGCTGTTAACAGAAAGATCCATGCAAAGGAGTTCGGGATGGGCTGTGCTCCCTTCCTGGTTCGGTGCCCTGCAGAAATGCTCGTTCCCATCAATGCTGGCTTTGCTGTCTCACCCGGTGCCCCCCGTGCCCCAGGGGCTGCAGAACGCTCGCTGAAAGCCCTGCTAATGACATCCTCGATGTCACTGGGTGTGGTTGAGGGGCACTGCCAGCTCCTCCAGCGGCTGGGCAATTAAGCATCCCACTCGTCTCCCTCACTCCTGCACAGAGCTGAGACAATTACCCCAAACTTCTGAAAGGTTAAAGAAAAAAAAAATGTTGAAGTTTTTCTGGTTTTTGATAATCTTTTTTTCCTTTAAAATATTTGGACCTTTTAAACCAATGCTAATGATACATTTCTTTTTTTAATGGACAGCATTTTATCAATACAGACAATTGGGACTGGCATGCCAATTAAAGTCAGGGAGAGAACTACAGCTGTGGCAGAACACCTGTTTTTTTTCCCCCCAAAATTATGCCATCAACTTAATTGCAACTTTCCAATCCATTTTCCCCCCAATTAATCTAAAGTGCTCTATTCTTAGGAGGATTTTGGAGCTGTGATAAAGCAAGTCAATAACCTGCTTTCTGACCCTCTGCTAAACTGCTAATGACTTTTTTTTTTTGTTTTATCTCCATTTTAATGGACAATAGACACAGTCAAAAGCTGCGTAGCAAGTTGTGAGCAAAGTTGTGCCCTGCCCTTTGCAGCAGGGCCCTGGTTTAGCTTCAGATGCAGAGAAAAAGAGTGGCTGGGACACCTCCAAACTGGGATTCCAGCTGCAAGAAGAGGAAGCAGAGCAATGAATGCTGGCTAAAAGATGCCAGCTTGGCAGGTGACCCTTCTCCATCCAACCCACAGCAGGACTTTGCTGTGGGGCTCTTCAATCCCTTGGGCTGGAGGCAGGTTGGGGCATTTCCAACAAGAAGAAGAGGTAGGTGGTGCTGGCAGCAGGGAAAGGGCCAAGCAGGAGCCTTGGCCTGTCCATCGCCCTCCCCATCCCTCACTTCCCCCGGCTCTCTCCTCTGCCCCAGCTCCTGCCCATGCCAGGGCCCCCCAGGCTCCTTGGTGAAGCAGGCAGGAGGTCCTGTCCCAC